GCCCTGACCAAGGACCTGATGGGCTGGCAGTGACAGTGTGTTGACCAGTAATTTCTAGGATCTTAGGAAGCAGCATCTCTACAAATAGGTCCAACGGGGCAGCAAATGTTCTGATACGGGTTTGGGTATTAAACAGGCCAAGAGTTTAGCCAGAGTGGCGACCACTTGTGCATCCGTGACGTCTCTAATAATCTTTCTCTGGGAAAGTTTGTATGAAATTCTGACAAGAACAGATAAAGTTGAACCAGGAAGTGAAGCTGCATGGTGCACTGGAGAACCCCTTCTGGTGGAAATGTACCATTTGCTAACGTGCTCTTATGGTGTTTGTGATGCAAGGTGACATATCGTGAGCAGTCAACGCCACGGCGAAATGATGACAGTTTCAAGAACACAGATTCATGCTTTCGAGGTTTCATAAGTTACAAAACCAAAGGAACTAAACCTGTTTGTTTGCAGGGTGGAGCTTTCTGTCAATTTATTTCTTATTCAGAATCGGTTGTACGACTGAACTCCTCCAATTCTGCAGCGGAGAGAATTTTTACAGTGTTTGAGTGGAGATGTCGGTGAGCTGGTGTGCTCGAGCTGGAGACAGACAAAGAAGAACTTAGCAGATTTGCAGTGTCGAGTTACATCTAAGCCACCAGAAACAAACTCTAAATATGCATCTTTTAATAAACAAAGATGAGTTTTTTGAGGTTGAATCACAACATTGGAGAGAACGTTTTTCAAGGTTTCTCATATTTGTGCACACGGAGAACGAGTGCTACTGTTAGAACTGTACAGTTGTTGCCTTTTGCAAAGATGAGAGAGGAGAGAGGATTTTGTAGGGAGTGGTACCCCGTGACTAACGTTCAGAAACCGATAGTTTGGATTGTAATTGTACTCTTTGCCTTAATTTTCTCCCGCATTGTTTTCAGCTCCTGGTTGTTGCCCCTTTTCCTTTCGCTGTCTGATCGTTACCATGTGAAGATGTGGCTTTCAGACGTTGAAAATTAATTCTACGAATGCTGTTATACCTGCAAAAGTTACGTCCGTTCCTCACAAAAGTTCCAGGACTGGTGTCAGAAAAGATACATTTCAAACCCAAACTACCAGTTTTCCCCTTCAGACGATCAACAAAGAGATCCTGCAGCGTTTGCTTCGTTCAGAAGAGGTGAGAGTTGTGGCGGGACGAGTTCCTGGCTGAGAAGAACATCTCCGTGCTGGAGCAACCTCCCTACTCACCCCACCTGGCTCCAAGGGATTGTTTCCTCTTCCCCGAGCTCAAGGGGGTCTTCAAGGGGACCCGTTTAGAAGACGTGGACGACATCAAGATGGCTGTGACGACGGAGCTGAGGAGGAATCCTTCCAGGAGTGCATGGTGGCGTGAAGAGAAGGCTGGGGAAGTGGGTTAGACTCCAGGGGGATTACTTGGAAGGGGAAAACTTATAGTTTAAAATATATCTTTTGTGACACCAGTCCTGGAAGTTTTCTGACACACCTCGTATATAGGTAGAGTTCCTATACTGTCTATAAAAAGCAACCAAGATCGAGCCACTTTAAAGACAATCTATGTAAAGACAGACACAAAGAATTATACTTTTAGAACAGTTTAGTTGTTAGTTTTGTTAAAACCAGGCAGAGATGCATTAAAAAAATCATTGTAAATATATATATTAGTGGGGACAACTGTGCGATATACGTAAAACTAGTTTGTTTTCTCCCTGCTGTTGGTGACATAGTTAATAGATGGAGACACAGAACAGCTTGTGCCGAGACGTACACTCAGCTGTAATTAGCCCAGTGTGCTTACGTGCATCATGTTCTGTGCACATTCCTCACATACACGGGCGCACTTTAGTCCACACACACACTCACGCATCTGCGACACATGTAACTCGTGTGTGCGTTTTCACACACACACACACAGAAACACAAACACGCTCGGAGATAGCGATCACGCACCGCATCGCCATTCCCGCCTCCGTGCCATTAGGCTGCCAGCCAGCCGCTGACCGCTTTCCATCGAAGTCGCTAATGTTCCCAGACGCAGCTGAGAAATGGCACGTAGCACAGTACTGATGGGTTTTTTTCTTTTCCGTGAAACTTTCTTGATATCTAACGATCTCTCACACGACACGCTAAGAAGATTTCTAAAGAAAAAAACCTCTGATCACCTTTTTTGTGGCTTAATGTGTTCATGTTCACACTCGGTGTCAGTGGCACCTGGCCTGCCTCTCCGCCACCCTCCTCCCCTAACGTCGGCGTCATTAGCCACGCTCTCAGGGAAGCTGTCAACTCCGTGTTGCTGCTGGAATATGAAACCAATAATTACAGAAGAAATCCTCTCACTGAGGCTGCATTAACTTAACGCGCTGTTGATTGACTCCTGGCCTCATAAGCTACGCTCCACATGCTCGCTTTGGGTTTTCATCCACAGTGGTACACCACCTCAGGTAATTATTACATCGGAGGCACTGCGGTTTGGTGGCTGTCACTTTTATTACGCTCACATATAGATTATTATAAAAGAAGGAGCTCGGCTGTATAATGAGAAATACAGGTTTCAGATAGGATTTTTAATGTAACTAGAATTGACCAAATATGGTATAAATCTGAGTCATTATGGGCTTTAATTACAATGGCATCGCATATTTATGGAGTTTCATTTTATGTACGCGCCACCATCCAACTTCTAACAGGCTGCGATTGACGTCAGCAGATACGCTGGAACAATAGAAATCGAATTAAATGTCAGATTTTGCCCTCCATGACTTCTTGGCTGTTTCGGCCCAAAAGCTGGGTGTGAAAGCTAAGCGCCTTTATGATTATCGCGTAAATGGATAATTTTTTCCACATATTCCGAGTCAATTAAAGCAGTCTGAAATTAGATTTTTTATAGAATAAAATATCTTCCATAAAACCACATCAACCCTTTTCATAATTTCCAATAAACTCCCAGCGTAATAATCCCCACGATGGAGTAGAAAACAACTCCAGGGCCAACACTGTTTTCTCCTCTATTTCTTTGGACTTTCATCTTTTTCTCCTCCTCGACTTGCCAGAGTGTTTTCTCTCCGCTCAACAACCAGTCCCGTGGGCGTTTGTTTTTTTTCTCTTTACGGCGCAGTTAAAACCTGTTTCAGACAAAAGTAACCTTCACCGACGATTTATGATTCATTCGTTCCCCGCTACGCTGACAGGTTGCCCGAGAGGCATATTTGTGTAATTTGATGCTCAATTTGCAAGCACGCTTGAAACAGAGATCATACCATTTGTATCAACACAACTGATTCACCTCTAACCGCAGAACATTTATTGAAGTGATATTCGGCGTAACATTTTCAGATGTATAATTGTGTCTGCGCTATTCACACATGTACTTAATGTTCTTCCTATGGACCTGCTGCCTTCTGGAATCAGTTCAAATTTAATAAGTTAACATTAAATTGAACATAGAAATCGTATAATTCCCAACATCACTGGTGGAATCATTGAGCTGTATCTTTCAAGTATCCCATGAAACACTTGCTAGCTCATCCATATATTGTGTATTTACCCTTCTGTAGGCCTTCAGGCTATAACCATGAGTCCACGGGAATAACTACTGGTAATTTTAGCTCCTGTAGTATTACAGGTTTACAGCAAAGTTGCTTTGTCGGCACGTTTAATGGTATCTCTGTCTGCTAAATTGTTACCGCTAGCTTGTCAAGCTGTAAAATTTTACTGACTTCATTTGTACCTATATATGTTACTTTTACTTCCATTGTTATTGACCACAGACTCTTCGTTTTATAGTTTTAATATGTATTGTTTCCTTTTCTTAGGACGTAAAACACCCCTTTAAAAGTTTTCACTGTTTTATAAAAGCTGGATTCGTGCAGCTAAAGTTCAGCTAACTTGCAGTGGAGCAGCTAAGCTAGCATGTAGTGGAAGCTTTAAACAGCTGGCGTTATTTCTGTGCTCATGCCTCTGATAATAGAAAGTGATGTTTCGTTCATACACTGCGCGGGTAACTTGAACTAACATGAAGGGAAGTTAGCAGCAACACTCCCAAACAACCGCCAGAGAACTTTAAGTTGTGCCGTTATTTCCCGTTAAGTCTATTTGCGGAAACGTGAACTGACGTGTTTGCCACTGAGAGCAAATTTGTTACCAGGAGTTTACTAGACGTTTAGCAAACTGTGGTGAACCGCAGGTGGAGATATTAACTAGGAAATTGGCAAATGTCTCATTATTGCCGGAACGTTGCCTTCAGTTGACGACATTTTTTTCTCTTCCACAAACATTTCGCTTTGGTAAGGGTGTCGTTCAGTTACGTGGATCGCAGCTGTTCTGTTCTAATGAATGTCTGATGGTGAATGCGTTCAGCGTATGAATGTGCTTCCTTTAAAGAGGCGGAAACATAAGCTACTAGAGACAACAGAACCGGTAACGCTAGTTGCTTCCAGAAGTTTCAACAGCTAGAAAGGTTCGCTGAGCTTAGATTACTGCCAGAGATTTAGGAACCAATGATAGCAGCTAACCGATATGACTCCAGTGGAATGCAGTGGGATTCCTGTAGATGATGCAAGTGGTTGAACTCGTCTAGAATGGTTTCCTTACTTTGAGGTATACGCATCATCACAGGTTATTCTTTAGTTGTGGGAAAACTGGTGTAAACGCTTGGATTAATAAAAAAACAGTTCATCAATTCAACTTTGACTGCACTGTTGTTAACTCTTTATTGTTGTTGTGTACGTTTTTTGGTGTGCAATAACTCCAATACCCTTAAAGCTGTAACCATGGTTCCCAAACTAAAATACGAAACGTGATGCTCATCCTGTGCTCGGTTGGTTGAGCAGATTGTCTTTGAGTCTTGAGGTTCCAGCTTCCAGCATTCACAACCGCCCCAGGGATTGCCAGTTCTAGTTTTCGTAACTTTTCACCAACCCAACACCGTAAAGGTTAGTTGAAAGTGTGTCCTGATGACTTGGGGATGAAAGTTTTATAACTCTATCCTTTTTTTCCCCATCCTTCAGGTGAAAATATGGTTCCAAAACAAACGGTCCAAGTATAAGAAGATCATGAAGAACGGGCCCTGTGGACCGGAGGGGGACCACCTCGCTCCCCCACCGGCGTCGTCCTCCTCCCCATGCTCCCTGTGGGACATCAGCATGGCTGCCAAAGGCACGCCGGTGCACTCAGGAGGGTACATGAACAATTTTGGACACTGGTACCCCGGACACCAGCAGGACTCCATGCCCAGGACTCAGATGATGTGACAGATTGGAGGACGCAACACTTCCGGGACAATTTATACGGATTTATACACGCGAGATGAACTGGAGCTGTAAAGGGACGAGGACATTGTTAAGAGTCTGAGCTGCTCTGGAGGCAAAAAAGTGGCAATCATAAGTTGTAGTAAATAGATTGAATTTACTTTTTACTATTTAGAAAATTCGACATCAGGATGTAAACATAAAAACGACAACATGCTAGCACCAATTGTAGCATTTTAAATGAAGCATGTAAGACTTTTTATTATGTTTACACAAGTGATATCCAACATATCAACGAAATGGCTCGTATCAGATTTGATTAAGAAGGATGCTCAGCTCTCAGTGACACGTATAACCAAATTAAACTAAAGAAAATGGAAGTCTAATAAACTTACAAACTCCAATAAGTCATCCTGTCAGGAGCTTTTTAACACTAGCTAACTAGCCTTCATTGCAACGTCCTAAATTCCGTACAAAAAAGTAGATTTAGCATTCAACTGTTCATTCATTGGAGGAATAAGTCTTGAAATAACGAAACTACATCGCCAAAATAAAACAGCCTGTCGAGTTATTTCTGCCTCCAGAGCGGCTCGGCTTGATATTTTTGATAAAGCTATAAGTGACGCTACGACTCAAAGCTAACGCCGACTCCTGATTCTGGACACTTCGGGAGTTTTTGTTTGTTTGTTTGTTCGTTTATTAGTTTTGTTTTTTTGTGGGCAGGTACACATGTAAAAAGAAAGGTTCTTCAGGGCTTCCTCACAATTGTTTTTTTTTGTTTTTTTTAATGGACTGTATTGATTGGGTGAACCCTCTGGTTTGCTTATGTTAAAAGACGGATCAGATTAAAAAAGGAAAAGAAACTTCTGGTGATGCTTGTTGATGCAGTGCCAACAGGTTCATATAAAGGCATTACATTCCTAAACAACTGTTCTTAACACTTTGGTTTTTGTTGTTTGGTGAGGTTTAGGCACCAAAAGTAGTTGGTTAAGTTGGGAAGATGTCATTGTCTGAGCTAAAAAATCAACCCTTTCACAACATGTTTGAAGCCTTTCCTCCAATTATTTTGGTTACCAGGGTTACAAGTCTTTCCTCGTCTAATTTATAACTGGTTGGCTGAAACAGAGCAAACAGTAAAGCAATAAAATGCATAGCAAAGATATGTTAATATGTCGTATTTATAGTGTGTTTGTGAAGTTCATTTCTTTAAGACGTTACTGAGAATGCAGCTTAGTTAGATTTAGCTGTATAGGGATGTGGTTTTTAGCGCGTACAAGGTGGAGGTGGGAAAAGTTCCAGGACTGGTGTCACAAAAGATATATTTCAATCTACAAACTACCAGTTTTCCTCTTCAGACGATCAACCAGCACGTCTACAAAGAGATCCTGCGGCGTTTGGTTAATTAGTGTGCGAGAAGAGGCAAGAGTTGTGGCAGGACATTGGGAATGTTTCCTCTTCCCCAAGCTCAAGGGGGTCATCAAGGAGACCTGTTTTGAAGACGTGGACGACATCAAGATGGCTGTGATGACGGAGGATCCCAGAAGAATCCTTCCAGGAGTGCATGGCGGCGTGAAGAGAAGGCTGGGGATGTATGTTAGACTCCAGGAGGATTACATGGAAGGGGGAAACTCGTAGTTTGTAGTTTGGATTTGAAATATATCTTTTGTGACACCAGTCCTGGACACACCTCGTAGAGATCTTTGCTGTATATAAAAGCAACCAAGATTGAGCCAAAAAGAAAATGACAGACGATTTAAAGACAATCTATGTAAAGAAATACACTCAGACTTTGTCATTTTCTCAATCAATCCCTCAATATTCTGACCTCACACTCCACCCACTCCTCTCAATGTGCTGTTCATTCGTGTCTTCGGAAAGTTTTAGTTTAACTGGTGTAACCCAATAATTGTGGTGGTTGATATTTTTGCCAGTAATTTATTGGCAACATCTATCAGCGATATACTAAACATAAATCAAACCCAGTGATCGTCGCCATCAGATTTGATTTTGTTTACTTAACTTGCGTCTAACAGTGGACATCTTTTGTTTTTACACCTTTAACAGATGATATGAACTTCAGCAACGTCTCGCTGAAACAACACGTCCCTCCTCAGCGTAAGGTCTTCGTGGCCCGGAGCCATTTTCTCTAAAGTCGTAAATCAGAAGACTCGGGTCACATCTTTTGCCCCGCGAAACATCTGGAAACGCAAAAAGAGTCGTCAAACATCGTCAATGATTTTATAAAATGACCATGTCAATTATGGGTAATTTAGGACACAGCTTGTTAAATAAAGCTTTCACTCTGACGCTATAATTACGTGTAATTGTCAGTCAAGGGAATATCCCTCCGCCTCGGGCCCCAAAGGAACAGGCGAGGAAGTCGTGGATTCCATCAAAGTGGATTACCGAGGACTAATCCTCTCACAACAAATTGATCTGTTGAGTGAATATTACAGATTTGCATTGTTGCTGATTTATGTTGCTTGTGGTTGGGCGCTTTTTTTAAAGTTATTTTTTCAAACACAAAAGAAAAACTGTTAGAATGTGAGTATATGTTCCCTTACAGATGAACCGAAATTACAATTCAGGACAAATTGCCTTTTAGATGGAGGTTAGTAATGAAACAATAGGAAACAAAAGGTGATGTGAAGCATATATAATAGGTCTTCAAAGATAATTATTATTATTATTTTTCTTGGCAGACTGAGGCTGCTGCAGTGTCACACTGTGGGAGGAAAAAAAAATTCAAGTTTCTTACTTACTAACACCAACAAGCAGCTGAATGTGTCGAGATTTGTTCGCAAAATCACGAAAAAAAAAGATGGAATTTAGTGCAGCTGGAAAACAATAAATAAAAAATAGGATGGGAAAAATGGAGATAAATGACAATTATAAACTATGTATATGGTCTATATATAAGCTGTACTTGAAATGGTAGTAAATTGTAGTTATCACTTGACATTGCCTCCAGATTAAAAAAAATAACTAAAGAAATACTTAAATAGAAATAATTAAAGTAGAGAAATATATTAGGTTTTAATATTTAAATATTATAATGCAGTTAATAAATATTATTATTATCATCAATAATAATAATAATAAACATATTTAACATCGATAATGTAAACAATAACAATGTATTATACATGTTTGTTATAATAATAATAATAATAACAATAACAATAATAATGATAATAATAATAATAAATGTATATATGTAATCCCACAGATGGTTGTTGGGAATAAGTGACTTTTCAACCTATACACTTAAAAATAAAATAAATAATAAAAATAATAAATAATAAAAAACATTTTCCTGCTCATTATTAGCTTGCATGTGTTCCCTAAAAGTTAAGTCAGCTAAGCCAAATCCTAAACCATAACTGCAATGAGCTGAACCAAGAGCAGGTAAAGATTCTTAATCCAAGACTGACATCTGTCTTTAGGTGTCACACTGTTGGGGTGTAAAAAAACAAAAAAAAAGGGGGCAAATAACCCCAACAAATTCTAATTATAAGCATGTTATAGACACCTAAAAGTCCTTATATGCCTTTTTATAGCCTCATATTAGAATAGAATAGAATAGAATAGAATAAAATGCTTTTATTGTCATCATACACAAAGTACAACGACATTAAAGGGAAGTACGGTAAATATATATATACAGTAAATTATGAGGAAGTACAGTTGACATTAATAAACAAGGTTTACTTTGGGGTCACGGTTAACAGTGAACACTTTAAATCGCCCTCGTGTCTGTTTATATGGCCTCATATTAGGGGTTACAGTTGACATTAACAGGCACTTAAAATGTCCGTGTAACTGGTGGACTAGTGGTTCTGAACGTCTAAATCTGGGCTCCACTGTTACGAACTCCTTCTGGTGCCGTCACATGAAGACTCTCAGAATGAAGTCACTTGTACCTGGACGTGAAGCGGCGTCGTTTTCGGGAAGAGAATTAACTGGAACAGTAAACCACTTTGCACATTTGGCCTCACGCTGGAAACTTTCTTCCTCTTCCTCTTAAAGCGGAGACAGTTGGCCGCTGTCCTTTCAACGGGAAACACATGTGGGGCATCACCAGCCCTCAGGTGTGTGAACGGCACTGACATGACCGACTAGAGCGCATTCTTTGAGGAGCTTTAGTTTTGCTTTGTTTTTGTCTTCGAAGGTTCAAACAGCTAAAAAAAAAAAAGAAAAGAGGAGCATGGAATTTTTCGAAGGCCCCGACTTCTTTAATCTGCTACCGTGAGCAGCATCCTGTTGCCTGTGGCACAGTTCACACCGTAGAGTTTTATGGAATACCTCAAATGCGTCACGTCGTCCTAATGAACTGATGGAGGCCTGTTGGGGGGGCTGAGGGGAACATGGCAAGAAAAACAGAGCTGCAGCCGAGGAGAGGCAGGGACGTCCACAGCAGCATCATTTAAAGTTTAAAGCAAACTTTTGAGGGGATGGGCGCTTTAGGATTGACCTTAAGATCTAAATCACAGCTGTCTCCACATAATTGACTGTTTGAATAAAGGCTTTGGTGTTGATGGCGCCCCCTAGCTTTAATTTGGTCAGATACAGTTTGTTTTCCAGAGAAATTACCTGCAAATGGCACTTGGGTCCAGCTGGGTGCTGCTGTTGTCGTGACTCTTCGGCATCGCTAACGTCATGCAGAGCAAGTTAGCTTCCCGCAGTTAGTCAATAGCAGAGGAGCATTTCTGGTATTTCCTCAAGATGTTTATTTTTTTTGTTAATTCCTTCTTCAAACTTCTATAAAATGATCGACAGCTTTTATTGAAGTGAGGATAACTTCTAGCTTCGATGCAGAGCGCCCCGCCCCGATCAGGAAATGGTTGTTGAAGAGGCGTTAAACCGTTTAATCTTGCTGTCTTTTGGGAAAAAAGAAAGTTTTATTTCCTTCTTCCTCATTGGTGTGGCGCTCTGCTGTGACTGCAGAAAAGAGCGTGAAACCTGAAAAATATGCTGAATAAAATGATCATCCTACCTTCATGTTACACAGTAAAAGATCGTACGTTTTTGTACGAACACAGTGTATACGAGTACATACTTGTAGTTACAAGGGTGAAGTTTAGGGTATAATTGGATAACAACCTGTTAACTTTTTTACCTACAGGGTACCTTCAGAACTGAGGGAATAGGTAATAAACAATCTATTTCCTTTTATACATTTGTGGTTCTTTTAAATACGGGGTTCTGTTTGTTGAAAAGGTCTGTCTTGCATGAGGCTCTCGACTCTCATTGCCTTCATCAGCAAACTCTGTAGTGGACGGTTGTTTAGGATCTCTCAGAATGGCTGCTCAGGCCTTACAATTAAAGTAAATCCATGAAAAACCAATAAGAGTTTTGTCTCGTTAACTTGACCGGTCGTTGTCTGGCCAGCAGCAATTCATCAGGATACCAGCTACATCTCAACAAGTCAAGCCTTTACTCTGTACAAGTGGCTGCTCATTAACCGTGGACTTGAGTAACCAGCGTACGAGGGGACTTCAAAAAGTTCTCACCCACAAAAACGAGGGGCATAACTTCCATTTGGGCCATTGCTGTAAACTATAAAGCCTTATATCACTGTCCACATTTTTTTGGGAGGAGAGGAAATGATTGGAGCTGGTTTGCTGTTGCTCCAGGATAATGCGTTCGTCCACTCAGGACAAATGGCAGAAGTGGCCAAATGAACTGTTGCTTTGTTAACCCTACTCACCCGACCTGCACTGTCTGACCTCCATCTGTTTATCAGAATGAAATGGCACCTGCATGGTCGTCATTTTCTGACTGATGATGATGTCATGCATGCTGTTGAGGAATATCTGGAGGCTCGAGATGTGACCCTCTTCTGGAAGGGATAACGAAGCTTTAACATCGGTGGACCAAGTGCATTGAAGTTTAAAGAAACAATGTCATCCCGTGATGTTTTCTGATGAGGCCGAGAACATTTTGAAATACCCTTATGTGTCCAAATGTGGACATGGGGAGAATCCGCAGGCCAAATACTAGTGGGAACATGTTCATCCTAGGTGGTTGTTTAAGCATGATTTAAAGTGACATGAACACACAGGATGAGTCTGCTGTTCTAAATGTTTTAAGCCCTCGTTCACTTATCTAACATGAGGATGGTGATGTTGATGGCTACTACTTACCAAGGCAGGTAAAATG